TACGGGAGTTGAGGGCCGCTCAGCTGTAGATGGAGCTGTTGGTTGAATTATGCCCTCTGGTGATAGAACGGAGTTAGTAGCAGCCTCCTGTTGTAATTCCCAGCCTGATGGTTGTTTTTCCTCTAAGCTTTCTTTCTTCAAATCTTCCTCTGTTTGACTAGCTTGAGAGACCTTCTCTTTTGCTTGACCTAACATGTTTTCTACCATAGTCTGGACCTCTAACAATTTACTTAACAGTCTTTCGGTTTGTTTTTTACTAGTTTCTAATCTACTATAAAGGTAACGCAACCCAATAAGATAGCATAAAACAAAACCGAAACAGAATGAAACAAAAACGGAACAAAAAATAGTTGTATCAATTATCTGTTTCTCAGGGCCGAACAACTTCAAACCTTGAACCAACCATTTTTCCCAGTTTGCCTGAGAAAATTCTAGGGATAGGCAGCTTGAAACAAAAACAAAATACATCAAAACAAGAACACATTGTGTTTTGAAATGGTCACCCATTCTCTCGCCTTCCCTCAGGGGCGAGCAATTTTACTCACCTCCAAGCTTCAGGCGTTCCCCATACGGGCCACCAATTGCTGCAGTCTGGCTGGGCACAAAATCACGAGCCACTCAAGCAGGAACAAACTTTATTTTTTGAAACTGCCTCCAATGCCCCGTATGCGCCTTGGAAGATTGCCGATCCACTCATGCAGCATTCTCCCCCAACCCCACAGGAAGTTCCTCCCCCAGAATTCCCTCCTACTGCACTTCCCCAACCAATGGGAATTCTCCAGGAGTCCCGTAGCAGGCCGAGGTGAACAGCAGGAGTCCAATATCCATATGAATGCAAATCTTAACCTAATCATATCATCTCAATGGCTAGCTGGTGTCACCTTTCAACCAAAAATGCCATGCATCATATTACTTGGCTGTGGCTCTTAGCATCTGTTTACACAATGATGCACACATGCATGCTGGTTTTGGTCTTGGTACTATTATTATTTCTTTCCACAAACATGCATAGGTATCCTTCTTGACTAGAATAGCTCCTTGAGAGGATGCACCCTTGAAGTTTTTTCTGCCCTTTAGCACTACTTTGAGCTTTATAAACAACAAATGTTTAGCTTTTGCTTGAAGAGTATTTTTTTCTTTAAGCAACAGGTAGGTATGCAAATCTGCAATTTATGTGGTTGTGATGTTATTTTGTCTTTAAGAGGCAAAGGGCTAATGCTTTAATATCTTGCAGTTTATACAAATGTGAACAAAAGTATTTATGAATGTTATAAGATTTCCACGAGAAGGCATTCAATAGACAAACAATAATGAAGACAGAAATGGCTGCCTTCTGTCTTAAATTCTGATGGTGCAAATGCCACCCAGGATCTTTCTTCATTGCTTGGCACAACTGTTAGAACCTCCAGCTGTCCTCATTTATTCTGCACTCTGTAAACTGGTGAGCACACCTTGCATCCTCCTCCAGGCAGGCAAGCAGGGGCTCAACCTTCATGTACTTCCAGTGCTCGTGTCTGGAAATTTCTGCAGCCTCCTGTTCCACAGAGCACTTCTCTCTTTCTCTTTTCCCTGGCGGTATTCATGTTTATCCACATGTGCCTCCCACAAGGCATCGGCTCCTTGGCGTCCAATGGCCTTTAAGGGAACTACTCTCAGAATTTCCCAGCAGAGCACTGAGCTTGCCATCTTGTGACAGAGAGCAGATGCTGGAACAGGCTGGGGTGGGGAAATATTTCGAGCTCCACGCTAAGGTTTGCCACCCTTAACAGGGAGATTAAAGATGCCTTTGTGCAGGTCCTGCAAGCTCTGTGTTTGGAGATCAGCCTGTTGAGGCTCCAGCCCCTCGTGTCTCAGAGCTTGGGGTCCTCCAGTCCTTCCTCTGTTGAACCTCTGTCCACCCTCCCTTCCACACCCAGCTGTGCTTTCCCATTTAAAATACAAAACCAAGCACTTCTCCTGGCACTGTCCCCTCTGGGTGCCACCTTCTGCATCTGTCGCCTCCACACCCTTCCCTCCATTCACACTTGGCTGGCGGCCATCTGAACCCCTCATTCTGAGGATGCTCCCACATGTTGGGACCCAGGCCCTGCAGCATTGCCACATTTTATGGCTTCCTCGGCACCCCGACTCCCCGAGCCTGCGGCCGTCCTTGATGTAGCCCACCTGCCTCGTCCATGCTGTCTGAGCCTGACTTAGCTTCCTCTCTTGAATCGTCCCTCTGAATCTCTTCTCCCTCCAATACCTTCAGTCTCGCCTCCACTGGAGATAGGTCACTTCAGGGTCCATCTCCAGCTTTACCCTTGCCCCCTTGAAGTCTCCCCTGGAGCCTTCTAATATTGTCACATCTTCACGTGTCTATTAAGTGCCACGGCCACCAGCCATGCCCCTGCCTTTGCCCGCTTCTAAGTTCCAGCCCAGGTTTCTGACTCCAGACGTGCCCACGACCACGTCCAAACCCCAGTGCAGCTTTCCTTCCTCTCCCATGACTTGCTACCCTATTGGTCCCTCTGCTCAAGACTCTGTTCCAAGATGGAAACAGAATTCTTATGTGACTCACCTGCTGCAGATTGCTGATCACACTTCTGTCATCTTGACCCTTATTTTTCCCTACATTTTTTATTGGTGCATTAGTTATAGTAATGGTGGGATTCATTGTTACATATTCATCCATGCACACAAAATGACAACACACTCTGGCCAATGGCATGACTTTCTTTTCACATTGGGGATCATCAGGATGGCGTTCTCTGCTTCTCTTCTCTTCTTGCTCTTGTCAATACCACGTGCTAGAAGTTCTCTGTGCAAGAATTGCTACAAGCTCCTTGTTCTGAAGGCATTGAAGAGCCAAGTCCAAATCAAACTAGAAATCCAAGGTTCCCTACCACTGTGACTCGGCTGCATATCCTCCAATGTAGGGGACTGTCCACCCCACCAGACTGCACTCGAGTCATGTGACACACTCATTCTTCTCCAACTGAAAATCAGGACCTTGCTCCAAGGTCCTCTGGAAGCACCCTTATCCTTGGCTCCTGGGCCTCCACGGTGCTTGCCTTAGAGTTCCAAATGACACCTCTTCATATGGTGGTTTTTATGTTATTTGCTGCAAGTGCCCATGGCCTAATGGGCTGTGAGTGACATGATCTGTTTGTTGACCCGTCATCCATCCATCTCCTCCCCACTGACCTGCTTACCCATCCTTCCGTCTTTTAGTAAACCTGGCTAGTATTTTGAGACTGCTGTGCCTAAGGTCCCCACTGGTGCTAATATTCTAGAAGTCTAAACATTATTTATTTATTTTTTTAAGAGAGAGAATTTAAAAATATTTATTTCTTAGTTTTCGGCGGACATAACATCTTTTGTTTGTATGTGGTGCGAGGATTGAACCGGGGCCGCACGCATGCTAGGTGAGCGCGCTACCACTTGAGCCACATCCCCAGCCCCTCTGAACATTATTTAGTTTCTATACAGAGAGACAAGCAGGCTTAGTATATAACATGGGCACCTGTTGATCAGATCTTTTTTGGGTGTGTGGTACTGCAGATTGAACCCACGACTTTGTGTGCCTGTGAGGCAAGCATGCTACCAACTGAGCTATATTCCCAGCCCCCCTCATTCATATCCTGATGTCTTAAAATTTCCAGGTTGGGACGTACTACTCACATGCCTCAGACATATAATAAATTTTGTGTGTTTTTCCTGTTTTAAAAAATTTCTAACTCAATAATACTTGGCACTTAGTAGGTACTCAATAAATGTGTGAAATGAATAAATGAGTTAATTCCTAGAAACTGAGACTGGCTTAGTATAGGTATAGTAGAAAACAAATCTCCCTGCCTCCCAGCTTTCCTAAGTTATCAGTTACACACACACTGCCACGTTCTTTGTTCCACAGAGCATTTCTTAAAACAGATGAGCACACACTAGTGTGTGGGGGGCGTCAGGATCCAGAAGAGCAGGCTAGGAGTCATGAAGGACTCTGCAGCTGAGACTTGTCCCTGCTGGGGCCCAGACCCCCCAGAAGGCCCCACCCCAGCGGTGTCAGCTTTCACTCCTTTCCCCTCTCACCACTCCCTCCCCTCTCACCACTCCCTCTCCTCTCACCCTCCCTCCCCTCTCACCACTCCCTTCCAGGCCTTTGCCCAATTTTTACTTCTCATCTCCTTGTGTGCATTATAAAATTTTTACCGACTATCGATTCCAGCCCAAAAGCACAGGTGAGAGAATAACTAAATGGAGTAGTCTCAGAGCAAATGTCCTAACCATTTTCAAACATTCCATGTAGAACCAAATTACATACCAACTTCGATGTTATTGCTCATTTCTTCTAACTGAATAAAAATGGCTTAAATGACAATAACTAGGATGATACCTGTGTTTGCTTTAAATTCTTTATTATCCTGAATATAAAAGACAGAAGTCCTCTAGGATATAACAGAGTTCTTTATGTGGAAACATTATTTTTTTTTACAAGTGAAAAAATAAATACCTCTTGGAATAAAGGCTTATAATGCTAATATGTGCCATAAAAAAGTAGAGTTTTAATATTTGACAAAATGTCTGTGCAAAGAAACAAATGCATAAACACATTACTGCTACATTAAGGCAATATGAAAAGTATACTCAGAAATCTCAGTAAAGTGACAGTGTAGTTCCTAGCTTTAACTCAGCTAGTATTGCACCCGATAAGGTCACGTAGGTTTCCTGACATCCTTGAAAACCTGCTAACTAACCAGCTTCCAAAACGCCCAGTGGGAGTGAAAAATATGTCTAAGAATAGAGAAGCCAAAGAACCCTATGGCGGGATCCACCCAAAGAAAATCTAAACACTTACTTAAAAGCACATACGCAAACCAAAAAAAAAAAAAAAAACAAAAAAAACCAAAAAAACCCAAAACCAATAAAACAAAACAAAACCCCGCTAAACCACACAACAAGGAGGCAGTATCTAGAAATGTATGATAAGGCTGAGGACCTCGGGTCATTCAAGCACAGCAATACCCATGGGTGAAGCTGGCGGCAAGGGCCCAGGAGTGAAGACGGGACCTCGCGGGTGCCGGGGCCTGGTGTGGGTGAGCCAGGCTTCCCTGTCCAGGAAAGAGCTCTCCCTTCCCAATCTTAAAATGTCCCACCAATCCAAAGCCCAAGGAGTGCTTGACTGTGCCAGAGACCCTCCAACCAAGCGGCAGCATCTGTACCAAAGGCCTGGGCACAGCGGGCAGGGAAGGGAAAGAACGGAGCTGCTCCCGGCTGTCTGTTGCCCCTGTTGCCCCGTCCCATTGAAACCTGCACCTTGGCTGCCAAACTGTCCGGAGTCATGGGATGGACTCTGAGACCTGCCTGCATCCAGTCATTCTTGAACAAGTCATAAAAACAGAAATGACATATAATGACAACTATTTAAGAAAATGTTCCTATTAAAAATGTTCCGCTCTCCATGACCTTACAAAAAGAACCAAGTAAATTCGTAAAACTAATTCTGACAAAGCCTGCCGCAGGTGGGAGCCTCCCTCGGGATGCACCGCGGAGACTTAGGAGGTCATTTGTACCCACTTCTTGGCTACGCTGCCACTTAACTGACGCAGAAGACCTTACCTATTCCTTTACTTGATCATAAAAAAACGCAAGACAAGGAATGTGTCCACGTTCCAGAGTCTTCCAGGCCCCCACCCCAGGGGTGTTGGTTCTGCACACAGATGTGGTTTTGGAGTGAGAACTTGTATTCCGGTTTTTCTTCTTTTTTCTTTGTTTTTTCAATGCGCGTGGCAGATGGGGTTGGGAGTGGGGTTCTCTCCACAGTTGTCCTTGTATAGTTTACAATAGTGCAGTTTGTGGAAATATGGCGTGTCGATGGATGCAGGACAGGCTAGATGACGGTGAGGTTGAGGAGGCTGGTGTGCGTGGGCAGGTAGACGTGCTGCACATGCTCCACGCGGGACCTGCAGACTGGGCACGACTGGAGAGAAAAGAGCACTGGTTAGACGCCTCTGCAGGGCCTGGGTGCCCGCCCTGGACCTGCTGCCTGCAGTGCTCTGAGTGAGTTGTGACCACGGTGACCTCTGAGCCTTCAACTGCAGAGGTCTTTCAGCTAAACTGTACACGGGCACACTGAGCCAAGGGTGTGGCCCCTCCAAGAGTAGAGGATGACACCTCATGAAGGAGGCCCTGTGCAGACTGGCCCTGGACCACCATGACCGGGTGGATGCCCACGAGGCTGGGAAGGCGGCTCTGTCTGCTCGCAGGCAACAGCTCTATGTTCCTAGGGTCCTCAGCAAGGACGTGCCCTTCACCAGCACTAAGGCAGACTTGGGTACAAGGGCCAGAATGTGGCAGAAAAAGGCCAGTACATGGCTGCGCCTGGGAAAAATCACTCATGGTCGCAGCATGACCACTCTCGGGAAGGACACCATGGTCCTGTGGACTTGGTTTCCAGCCCTTTAGGAACTTGGAAACAGCTCCCAAAGGACGAGGTGACAGTTAGGGTTAGGCCACATAAACCCACAGTGATCTTCAGCTGACACTTCTGAGCAAGGGAACAAGTGAAAAAGTTAAGAGGAAATGTAGAAAAGAACAAAAACATGCTCTGTGAGCACCTCTCATTTTTTGTATTAATATCAAAATGAGTTTGACTTAGAGCCCATCCAAGAAGGCCCTAGAGACACAGGCAGTACTCAGAGTAAACTCCTCACATTAATCAGAATGGTACTCCGCCGGGGCAAGGGAAGGTTGGCAAGGACTGCACTGTCCTAGCATTCTTCTGAAGTACAAGGCAAGTAAGAAGACCGTCCCCCGGGGTCAGCCGGCCCCAGGAGCACGCAGCAGTGGAGGAGGCCTGCGTTCTAGGCTGGATTTAGCCACCAACTAGGTGCCAGATGTGAAGACCACCTTAGGAATCTGGACCTCATTTCCAGAACTTGAAACAAGCCTGCGATTTAGGGTAATTCTGCTGGTGAAAACAGCATGCTATACCCTCAGGCACCAAGCACAGCGACCTTTCCAGGCAGAAGTGGCATTCGCTGCACTGGCCAGCCCCTGGTGGGCACGCACTCACCACACAGGGCTGTGCCAAGGCAGGCCAGGCCAGCTCCTCACCTGCAGCTGGGCAGCGCAGCTCTCGCAGCACACAGTGTGGCCGCAGGGGCAGAAGGTGGAGTTGATGTCCTCCTCGCAGCACACCATGCACAGCATGGCTTCCTTGAGCTTGCGCAGCTTCTCCTGCAGCGCCCGGGTCTGCTGGCAGCTGAAGCCCTCGCAGCTGCTGCAGTTCATGCTGCTATCTGAGGACTTCAGGGGAGAGCTGGGGGGGCTCTGGTCACTCCTGGAAATGAGGTCCACAACGCCAGCGTTGTACAGAGCCCTCCTGGCGTGGTCGTACACCTCCTTGGATGTTCTTTTAATATCGAAGACATACTTCTTGCCGAGGTTAATGTTTTCGTTGAGGAACAGAGATGCCAAGTGGCCCTTCAAGTCACGACTGTACTGCATCATGACGGCGCTGGTCACTGTGTCACACCTGTGAGGAGAGATGGAACATCTGCTTTAATGCCCAAGAGCCAGGGCAGATGCATAACAGACCTCCTGACACTGCTGCCAATACGAAGGTCGTGTCCACAGACGTTTGGCGCAGGCCTGGGAGCAGGCTCTTCCCTCGCTGTGTGTGCCAAACAGCCCAACGACTCCACCTCTGTACTGTTCAAGTCCCGCCTATGAACACCCAGCAATACGGAGCAGTGACCCTCTGCTCTGTCTCCAGGGCATGAGCTGAAGTCCACAGCAGCTTGAGGAAGAGAAAGGACATTTGTCTTTGAAGCGTGTGCTTTTGTGTTTAAAATGCCGACAATTTGTCCATTCTGCTCCACAATCTGTAGGTCTATTTTAAAATAAAATATTTTAAGGCTTTCTACCATTTAAATTTTTTGGCTTCACTTTTCCGGATATTTTAGTCCAATCACAACTCGGCTTCAAAATACCCTTTAGAATGAGGGGATCAATATTGTTATTTAAAAATCCTCAGTGTGTCGGTAGTGAGGATTCTGGGCAGGACCTCTCCCGGGAGGGCAAGATGACCTGTCATCCTTCTGCCAAGAAAGGGCAAAGCTGTAGCAGAACAGGCCCAGCCGCCCAGGGCCCCTCAGGAGAGGGGTGGGTAGGAGAGGAAGGTGAGAGAAGCAGGAGAAGCTGCGCAGCCCATGCGGATGCACTTTCTGTGGGGAAATGGAACTTTATTGATAAGGACTCTAGTCACTCCATTGTGACTGTGACCACAGAGACAAGATGTCCCAAAGCATTCCCACTTCTTTGATTTGCACAAGATGAAACCACAGAAAGCCACATGTCACCTAACATTCCCGAGGCACAGAGCCAGCTCTCGAGTGTCCCGTGGTACGTGCCTGTAGAACGCGTGCGTCTCGGTGATTGCTCGGTAGAGCCCACTGGCCGCCCTGGTGCTGATCATTTTAAACAGGAGCACGATGCTGTTCCCAGACTCCTTGGTGACTGTCAAGTACACGTTCTTTCCTGACTGGGTAGCCATCTGCACCACAGGGTAAGCTATCCTAGGAGACAGGAAGGCAGAGTGAGCGGCCCAGGAGGAGCCTCAGGAGGGTCCCCATTTGCCCACAACGCAGCAGGAAAATCAGACATTCAATCTGGAACGACCCCATAACCCTTGTTCCCAACACCCAGGCAGGCCGGAGAGCAGTCCCGCAATGTGAAATACTGGAGCAGGTTTTGGGTGTGGGACTGAAAGAGATTTTCATGGCAGTGAACTTATTTGAAAAACACTACCACATAAACACACTGTGGGTCAACACCAATTAAATGGCCATTAAGACCCGAGTAATTAATGTGAAGACCCCAGTGGAGCATCTCCTTCCTCAGGGAGGACTGCCTGCCTCGTCCCTCCCCACCTCCTGATTTCATGTCGAGAGCTGCAATGCGCCCAGACGCCTGGTTACCTATTAATGGGGCTGAAGTCTTCCTTGCAGACTGAGATTCCCTCGGGTCCCACCCCAATGAGGAGCTTCTGCCCTTCGCTGTCCCTCACGGCGTGCCACTCTATGCCGTAGTTCTCCATGGCAGACACGATCTGCAGAACCTGGTACTCGGCCGAAGCCTGGCTGGTGCCCTCCAGCTCCTTGTGCTTTGCCACGATGCTGCAGAACAAGAGAAGGTGGGGTTACCCAGAGGGACACATCCAAAGACCAACCTGCACAGTCTTCACTAGTAAGGACATGTCGTCGTCATCTGTGAGTCACAAAACCATGATGTTTCATTTATTTAGCAGAATTACCACATAAAATACTTCTAAGACACTGTTCAAGATGGAAACCATCATCTGTTCAGTCGAGAACACTTTGGGGGATGTTGGATAAGGATGAATTGAAAGATTTATGGAAAATCTCTAAAAACATACATAAGAAGAATCTATGTGTGGACCTCCTTGTGCCTTTGTCTAACATACTTCATAAGCTTCACTAGACTCTGGCATTATAAGGGATCGATCAGGTCATCTGCAGCTGAAGAAGATGAGTGCTATCACCTCTTTGTGGCAGAAGAGCCTCGCAGGTGGCCCTTGGTGGTCCTGCCTCCTCACACCCTTGAGTGTGGGCTAGATTCACAACTGGCTGCCAGTGAACAGGATACGGAGAACTCATGAAATGTGACTCACTCTGAGATCAGCTCTCCTGAGCTCGGGGGGCCAGGGAGGGAGGCTGGCCAGCACTCCACAGGGGCTGCCTGGAGGTGGGTCCTCCCTCAGTTGAGCCTTCACAGGACCAAACTCCAGCAGCCTGAGGGCAGCCCATGAGAGTAGCCATGGCTACATTCCCAAACTGGACCCTCTTGTCACAGAGATAATGCTGTTGTTTTAAGCCACCAAGTTTGAGGTCCCTTGTCATGCAGGACTAGGTAACTAAGATGCCCATTAGGACTCCTGATCTCATTCCTGCAGGGATGAAGAAAACACCAATACACACGATAGACTTTTCACTGTAGGAGACCTAAGTTCTTAAAAAGCCAGATGTTTAAGAAATTCTCATTATGTGTAACATTTCATATAAAGGCATTTGCTTGTATAAACTGTTTTGTGTTTGTAAATTTCTGAAAGAAACAGCTAATGGATCCAGAAGACACCTGGCTAGAATGTGCAATGCCCCCCCACACATGAGCTGCACCACAGGTTCTCTCTTCCCGGACATTCTTGTCAAGTTGAGAGCCTGGGCCCTCCGCGCTGGCCCGGGCAGCCTCACCTGTTCAAGGCAGCACTGGAGAGCTCCTTGGCACACAGCTCCTCGTAGTTATACTTGGCAGTGTTCTGATTATAGTCCCCAAACTTGGTCTGGGCCAGGAGGGCACTGAGTTCCACAGCCTGCTCTGGGGAGCACTGGAGGTGGCCTGCCAAGAGCGACTCCTTGATGTGCAGGAAAAAGATGTGCCTGTAAGAGAGGTTCGAACGAGGTCAGACTGCGGAATCACTGCACATCAAACCCAACCTGCTGGGCGGGGGGCGGCTGGCCGTGCAGCATTTGCCTAGCGAGTAGGAGGCCCTGGGCTCCATCCCCAGTACCACAGAAAACAGACACAAGGATAAATACAACCTGCGGAGCAATTACACAGTCAAGTACTCGCCTTTTAAGGAAAGAAAACATCAATTTAGAAAAATCACACTGAATACACTTACCATGATAAACCCCTCTTAATCATGAACATTAAGACAAAATAACATTAAGACGAACTTTGAACTTTCTCTGGAATAAAAATTGTGACCCAAACAGGACATTTAACAAAGACAAGTTCAGTAGCAGTCAGGTCACAACATGTAAAATACTCACAAGTTTCTGCACTGTTTTAAAATAAAGAATCTTCATCAGAAAAACTATCTTGAAATGAATTCTGATACAATCTTAAGGAACTTTATGAGCCTCAGCTCACTCACACAACCCCCATTTCCAAGAATCACACCTGCCCCCAGACTTCACCTGGGAAGTTCATTAGCATCCCGAGTTCGGCTCCTTGGAAACCAAGCTCCTCTTCCTTCCAGTAGGTCCAGACTCACATTTACCCAGTCGCCCACCTCCACCTGTCTAACAGCCTCTGAGAGCCCTTTAGACCAGTTCCATCACCCATCGTCCCTTGTGCCTCCTCAGCCATCAGTCCTGTTCGCAGCTCAACCACAGAGCTTCCCACAGGCTCCCTCCTCCAGACTCTGCCAGCCCCCCCTGCAGGCTGCCAGTTCTCTACTCTGATCCTTCAAGGGGTCCCCACTGTCTGCTAAGGAAGCACCATAGTGGCCTGAAACCCAGCCTCCTCTGCTGTCCCCAGCTTTCCAACCACAGATGTTATCATGTCCTCCAGCAGCTGTGCCCAGGAAAGGGACAATTCCTGTGCTTAGGAACCCTGGTCTTGCTGTCCCCTCTGTCCTGATGGCTGCTCTTCCTGGATGCCTGGGGTCGATGTTGGATATACACCATCTCTTCCTGTCACAGGGCTGGGTGTATCCTAACTGTTGGCGGGTTTAGACAGCTGCATGAAGTTGACTTCAAAGAGCTCCACAGGCACAGGTACAGCTGCAGGTATCTGTGATTATTTGATGTCCCAACCTTAGTTTTGTTCTGTTTGAGCCTGGCCTAACTGTGCACGATACCAGTCTACAGGATCAAAAGGCTTGTCCATCACACTCACAAAGTTCTGGGGAAATTAAGATTACAAACTCCTGGGAAATTCATATTGCCCAAAATTCTGGAAAGAGTCTCTACACTTTCACAGAAAAGGTTGGCCTAAGTTACAAAATTTGTCCCCAGCAATGCGGCGCCCTAACCTTACTTAGATGACTTGTGGTTGCCTCTGAAAAGTGCTTAATGCCACAAACCTCTCCCATTAATAAGTGAGTCATGGCCGCTGGTAATGCTTAGGCACCAGGTAAGCTCAGTGACCCCTCCACCAAGGTGACAGCCTTCCTCCAGCCCCACGGCTGGGCTGTCTGCTCATACACGCCACCTGTGCGAGACATTCCAGGCAGAGGAAGAGGAGGAAAGAGAGCTTCAAACATGAGGAGCCCCAAGATGTCAGGTTGACAGAGCCACCATCTGCCTTAACATTCAAATCCAATCTTTCGTGCCTTTAATAACGATAACAAAATATTTAAGATGATCAAACTCTGCCAAGTACTGCAGTTTTCTCCTTATTCAAAGCCCTCGTAAGACACCACAGTAAGAATGCACAACAGCACTGAAGGAGGGTAAACATGGTTTTCATTAACCCAAACATCTGTTAGTCTTTAAAGTATTTCTGACATACTGCTACACTGAGAAGGGCCCCTGCTGAGGCAAAGCAATCACACACAAAAAACCCCCCAAACCTGGCTTTAGAATAGCGGGTCCCAGCATTCCCACAAAACCCGGAGTCACAGCACGGCTCCAGCCCTTGGAGGCCTTTCAGATGGCCCTGGGCCGACTTCATCCTGCTAACATACCCGTCTGTCCATCAGGAGCGCTTTTAGGAAACCACCGGCTGAACGTAGGTTCAAGAAGAAATTGTGCGAGAAAAGATTTGAAGGTTAGCACTGCCGACCAAGTCTTCTCAATCAATCCCGGCTTTCCTAAAGGCCTCTTTGAACTTATTTTCCTGGTATAAAATTAGAAACTACTTCCTGTCTTATGAAGTAGGAAGTGTAGCCTGCAAAAGGAGAGCTTCAAACTTGATTCCATTTCTTTTTCTAAACTACCCATGCCTACTTCTAGAGAGCTGCCAAGTCGGAGGCGAAGCAGCAGGAAGTGACCAGATATCAACAGGGCAGCAGCCTGACGGGAGTGCTGGTCCTTTCTGTATATGGGTCAGAAATAGACAAAGGTGGGGCGGGGTTTCCTACACAGTCCAGGCTGCACGTGAGCACACCTGTAAGCATGAAAGCCCTCCTTGCTGTCTACAGCCCTTCTACCTGGCCCTTCCTGCATCTTGCCGTTTCATAGCTGCAAAGCCACCTTTTCATCAGCTGTGTCACGCCCTCCCTGTGCCCAGCCCTGGGCCAGGGTTACAGAATGGACACTTCTAAAGGAACTTATAGCTTTTAGAGCAGAGCCACAAACTGGCCACTGGGTGACAAGGGTGCACTCTCAGGACAGTACCCAGGGTGGGGGAGTGTGTGCAGGGGGAGGGGTGGCAACCAAGGTCAGCCACTAGGAGGAGCCATCAGGAGACTGCAGGAAGGAGGAGGGAGAGCTGACCCGCGTTTCCAGTAAGGAATTCCCTGACAGCGACAAGTTTAAGAGTGCCTTTGACTCGGCTTTTGCTCCCATTATCTTCCCCTCTGCCATCTGGCCTGGAAGGTCTGGCTGGCTCCTGGATTTTGCCCTCTCTTTTTTTTTTTTTTTTTGTGAACTGGGTGAAAGGTTACCAACAACATCAAAACAAGCAGATGCAGTCAAAGAAGTCATGCCTGCAGTGATTTTTTTTTTAAACAAAAGACTGAAAGTGATGACATGTTTATTCAACATAGAGGGCATCCTAGACCACAACAGAAAGAAAGCCTCTGAGAAGAGACAATGTTCTTCGACACAAGCAAGCACATGTGAACCTGTCCTGTGAATATAGAAGCTCAATTGCATTTTAAAAATTTTCTTGGGGTTCTACTTTGAAATTCATTCTGTAAGTTTTACTAGTCACTAAGAAAATGGATATTTTCAATATATGGCCCACATTTCGGAGCCCAGGGTGAAACATTCTGGCTAATCCATGCCTGGCATTATGTTTAAAATGAATTCACTCTTCTCCAGCATTATGGAAGGTTGGTGGGATGAATATAAAGATATGTTCGATTTTAATTTCAAGGATCATACAGTGTCATGTTTTTATTTCAAATAACTGTAAATTGCCTCCTTTTAAAATTAATGCCTTTGATAGTGTTAAGAAATAAAGTTAAATCATTTATCTTTCCAGAGTGTCTAACCAGAGAACTCTGCTGCGAACACTGGCTACCCCTAAAGCAATCACCAGGTCCCCAGAGCAGAGCTTTCTACAACCCAACTGGGACTCTGCGTGTGCTGGGGCTGAGGCTACTCCGAGGCCACTCTGTTCCACCCTCTAGTTATCTTACAGCATTCTGAAGAGCTTCTCGGGACAAGTATAAAATAATCACATCCAGGCGCATTATTACACTCAGAATTAAGTAACTAACCAAAAACTTCTTTAAAAGAGGCTATCTTTAAGAGCTATCTTTAAAAGCTCAGTTACCAGTAACTGAACTGTATTTCTCCCTGAGACCCACCACTGACCCTGGCTATGTCCAGACTGTCCCTCTCTCAGTCAGACCCCACCGCAATCCCACCTCCCACACCCCTGTCCAATGACTCACTTAACCACATCGGTTTATTTTACACCAAACTCTAACTGCCAAGTTATATTTTTAAATTATTAAATCAAAACAGAATTGCTATGAGTTGTTTTTTTTTTTTTTTTTCATTTTCTACTTAGAACAGAACAGAAATCAGTTAAAGATGGATCTCAGGCCTGCACGTAGAAGCCCAACTGTAATGCTCTGAGAGCTAAGCATAAGAGAATCTTCATGACTGGGGATGGCAAAGGTTTCTTAGGACATGTCAGCAAACATCACAGAAGAGAAAAAAATGGGTAAATTAGACTTCATCCAAGTTAAAAACTCCTACTCACCAAAAGGCATAGGAAAATAGGCAAGCCACAGAGAAGACATATTTTTAAAAGTTATATCTGACAAATGACTGATTGAGAACACATAAAGAAATTGCACATTTTGAAAATAAAAGCCAACAATAAGAATGGGTACATAACTTGAATAGATATGTCACAAAGGAAGACTTAGGATAGGCAAATAAGTACATGAAAATGATTAACATCATTAATCAGAGAAATGCAAATTAGAACTACAGCACTCTACCACTACATGCTCTGGGGAAAGGCCTGGCCGTTACATATAAAACCAAACCATTACCTCCTCTATGACCCAGCTACTCTGTTCTTAGGTATTTATTCAAGAGAAATGAAAACACATGTGTCTACAAAAAATAACTCGTACTAGAATGTTCATAGCAGCTTTGCTCATGGAAAACAGGTGTTCATCAATAGGAGTATGGATCAACAAACAGTAGCACATTCGTAAAACGGAGTACCATCCACCAATAAAAAGGGACGATCTGCTGATACACACATCAATATTGACAGATCTAAAAGAATACATGACGAACAAAAGACCGAGACACAGGAGCACACACTGGGCTGGGGAAGCCGCTCAGTGGCAGAGAACCTGCCTGGCCCGCATGAGGTCCTGGGTTCAATCCCCAGAACTGCAATAGAAAAATAAATATACAAAAATAAATCCAAAACAGCATTAAAATACCCTTAGTTTTATCTGTCAAAACTTAATAAGCAGTATTATTAGGATTTATATACTTCATGCAAATTTTGCATCAAAAGAAAAAAAGAACTATCTGCAAACAGGGAGTGCTAGTCAATGAAAGTCATGTACTCAGGAGAAAGTATACTTACAACAACTTATTTTGACAATGCATCAAAAAGATGGATGGATGGGTAGAAGAACAAAAAAAAAAAAAAGAAAAGAAAAAAAGGATACATACACAATAAGGCGTGCATAGTAAACTTAATAGTAGAGTCTAGGCTGGACTGTATGAATGTCGGTTGGGAAGGCCTTCGTATGCTTGAAATTTTTCATGAAAAGAGGCTGAGAAAATCCTAGCTGGGTCAAGATTCAGAACTCCACCTCTGTTCTCCATGAGTAAATCATTACCACATACTGACCAAGTTATCTCTCTACTCATACGTAAGGAGATTCTTCTCAAAGCCCAAAATACAAAGCCAGACGACTGAGGTGTGAGTTCTTCCTCTGGCCCTGCAGCCGTGAAGAGTGGAGAGCGGCCACAGGGCACTGCCAACTTCAAGGCCAATTACAGCCCCACTAGAAGAGGACCACCACTGGACAGCATCAAACCTGCACTTCTGGAAACCACTTACTGTCTCGCAGTAAGTCCCTGCCAGGCACCAGTCCCGGCAGTCCAGCAAGCTCTGGCTGCCACCTCCTTCCCTAGGCTGGTCAGGAGAGTGCTCTTCCACAGTGCAGGGCCAGCCAAGGGGCTTTCAGAACCCATCACCTCTTCAACGCCTTTGGATCATGAGTTATGAATAAATGAAAGCCTTTGAAGAGCAAAAATTTCCACGATGGTTATAATTTCAGATCTACTTCCAGAATACATTAATTTGCTTCACTTTTTGTTTAAATCAACAGCACCGCAAACATCTGCTGAAAAGACCTGCTGTCTCCATCTCTGAATGGTGCCAGCTAGGCTCAACAGGACTCTCCCTTTACTTTTGAGGCAAACAACCATATGGGTAGGACCACATCTAAATTGAGGCCAAATCAGAGACCAGATTAACCCTACCCGCCAAGCCAAGCCAATACCAGATATGTTTTCTCTGTCTTCAAAGGGATATACTTAGGAAAACATTAAGAAAATAATACAGATGAAGCAGAGGCAAAGTGGGGAAGCTATGGAGAGGAGGCATTCAGGGGCTGTTCTTCTTGGGCTTTCAGCAGGGCTCAGGCCTGGTAGTTAATGACACAGTGGGACCCTGAACACAGGCTTCTGCCTGGGTCCCAGGGCTCTCCATGATAAGCAGGCCTTCCTGCTTGCTACTGTAATCTGATGTGGACTAGTATGTTAACTGCTCTACCCTGAGCAGGCTACTTAATTGTCCACCAAGGACAACTAAAAGCCAGAATATTTCAGAACCACTTAATAAACTGTCCAGCCGCTTTCGGTATGCTAAATGCACCCTCATGACTTGACTTAGTAAAAAATCAACTCTAATAACTGGATTGTCACAGCTGCATTTACTCAATACGTAAGCACATCAATTATATTTTCACAGAGTTTTATAACAAAAGCTGGAATATCAAAAAGCTTATCAACAAGCTTTATTTTACTAAAATATCATTAAGGGGAAATAAGTGTTTTTGTTCTTCAGTGTCATGCATGTAAAAACAATGCTAATTGTAAACTGGACCTAGTACAACTTCTGCTGCCCTAATTGAAAGGTATAAATGGTAATTACAAATCACTTTATCAAGTTATTAAAGCAGAATGTGAATAAACCTCAGGGGGCATTTTATTAGAGATTTGTTTTAGCCAATCCTACACACACACACACACACAAGCAAAATTCACTAATATATTAAAAAGCAAATTGAAAGCTTATATCACACTAACCTTTCAATAGGATTTGAAAAAGGAAATAAAATCAATTAAAATCACCCAGTCAAACTAGCTAGACATACTCTGAGTGCTATTAGCTATAAATCTCAAGAGTCAAAGTCAATTGAGTCAAGAAAAGAAAAATCAAGAGAGGAAATTTGATTCAAGTTCTAATTCATAAAATGTCTCTCTTTCTTGCATGAATAAAATGGATTTGATCATTGTACTGACCCAATTACAGGAAAGACCTAGTAGAGACCACCTAGTACTTAATTATACAGTATGAATGCTTTCATAGTACAAATGTATTATGCTATTATCACATCCATTGTTTAAATAAAGTATCTGGTCTCTGAGTTTCTGCAGATATAAAAACTCAATTTGTGTCATCAAAATAAGGGGGAGACCCTAAAGTAACTATAAAATCAAATTATGACTATATAATGAAAAATCCAATGTTAAATTTTTTTTTTACTAAACTGCAAGTCATGAAGTGTAAAGTACAAGCTTTCATTAATTAGCTTTATATAAAAAATCTGATTAATAAAGACAACTAAAACATTGTTAAGCACGGAATGACTTGAATATTTTGTGAGATATTTTAAGAAGCACTAAGAATTCAAAATGCTACCTTCCTTGAGAAAGTAAATTAAAGATTTCCTCAATCTTTAAAGCTCCATAGCAAGGCAAATAAGAGATTTCAAATTCAAATGAATAATTATAAAACATTTCTATCAGTTCTTTGGTAAACAAACAAATAAACAAACAAAGAATGACATGTTAAAAACTCCTAGGGGATTTTGCTCACTCATCATTATTCAAAATTCTCAGAATCACATTTTTCACATGCATGGCAGATTTCCAAGTCAAAGGATTATGAAAAACACTGCTGCTTAGATCCAAAGTTCGCTACATTTTTGAAGGCAGTCATTTTTTTTACTTGACATGCCGCTGTAAGATTTAGGTCTCTGCATTTCAGCAGTAAATATTAAACATCACTTTCCTTGTTGGGAACATCTTTAAGAAAAAGTATCAGTCCAGAGGGAACACAGTATCTGAAAAAGGAGACCTCAGGCTTTAGTCTGCCACTATTGGTGGGGTTATTGTTTATTTTTTTAACAACAGAGAAATTCAGCAGTCTAAACAACAGACATATTTAATCTATCTGTGGGGTGGAATTCAGTTACAATGGCCTTCAAAGAGTTCTTTCATTAAGTTTTCATAAAACTTAAAAACTTTTAAAATTCTGCATGAAGCCAGAGCTCTCTGCTACACACTGTAATCTGATACTAGGCTGAAGAAGTTGACTAAGTTTTAAGTAACCCAAGAGGAACTGTTTCCTGCTTTCGGTTAGAGCGGTCTACAGTGACCTGTAATAACACCACTCAGGCGAGGTTACTATAGGGCATGAGATGCTGCTATCAGGAAGTCAGTCTCAGAGCTGTTTCTTTTTGTTTGTCTGTTAAGATTTCAACCCTTTTCTCCCAGTAAGTTTATAAAGACAACAAAAAACAAAACAAGAATTGGAAAATGCACCCAGGCCAACTATGCAGCCCCCTCTTCACCTCAACAAATAGAGTATAATACAGGAAACCAACTTAAGTTATGAGGAACTCAGTCTTCGGTAACACAAATTTGCTGGGGGACATCTCTGGGAGGATGCAATGATCCCTTCTAAAAGGAATCAAAGGTGTATTTGACATTGGTTTACTTTAGCCTCACTTTACCTCGTCTGCTCCTGTAAGATGAGATGAGGTTCCACGAAGAACTTGACTCTCAGCTTAAGCCGGTAGGGCGCTAGCCCATCCATCTGCTGGGAGATCCGGTTTCTCAGATTTAGCCATAAACTTTCACCTTTGCTACCCGTAAACTGCAGTCCAAAATAATCAACTTCTATGATTCCCAATCGCCTGCACACCTAAAACAAAAATGAACGCAGCATGGATGAGCAAATGGTACACAGTTAGAGCAGACCCAAGGGCTGTCTGTATCCAAAACTGCCCGGTGATTTTTACAAAGTTCAACGGTGGTGCTACCATTCCCCGGGTAAACTGGGGAAACAAAATTCTAAATCTGATGTCGAAACCTAGCTCTGGTATGGAAGCTCGTCCTGCCTTGACTATCAACAGCATGACTGACTGCAGTAGAGAAAAAGGAGTCCCCCAAAGTAGCCTTGTAGAAAGGCTGAAGGAGGGGCAGCCACAGGGTAGTTTCCCTCTTAATCCAATCTCTGGAATTCCCTCCAACAGCACAATCTGCACAGCTGATTTGGCAGCTTTATTATCTGGACAATTTTAACCATCTGGATTCCAAAAAACAAACACATTGAGGAAAGACGCCACAAGTGTCAGCTAAGCTTTTTCCAGCTAAGCGGTTTTCCAAACATCTCAGGATTTGAAGGCAGGGTGTTTCACAGGGATCAAAGGCTCTGTCTGCCATTCCAACCATTCACGCACTGTAGGGCACCTTTCTTCACTCTCACCGAATCACATGCTTGAAGACAACCAAGCAGTAGACAGCCCAAACCTCTCCAAGTCCTCTCTCCCTCGCAAATCCCAAGCAGGTGAACGGGCCATTTGGAGAAGCAGAATGAGACAAGGGAGCCTGGGACGCAAGACTACCTCGAGCCACCCTATCCTGGAACACGAGTGGCGCTGCCAGGTCCTGCGGGGACCCGTGGGCGGCATCACGCGCACACCTGCAGCAGGTGTGCCGGTCCACCTTGTTTGGGGAAAGTAACGGGTTAGGGGACGGGGTGGCAGCTCCCGGCTGTACCCGCGACCCCGGCGCCAGGGTCCCGGGCGCGCGC